CACCCGTGCCAATTATATATATATGACTACATTTGCGATGATGGATGAGGATGTTTCCGCGTTGAGTTCAGTTGTCTTCATTAATAGATATCATAACTGCATGTTTGCAAATTTGGATTAAGAATACGAAAATGACATCATAATCTATCTAAGAGGGTGTAATGTCACAATTAACCTAATTTTTGTGGAAGTGTATTTGAAGCGTATCATGTTTGATATGCTTGTTGCAAGATATAAAAGGTATCGATTTTAGATGTCATCTCCTGATATTGTTGTGTACATTGCTCTCTCTCTCTCTCTCTCTCTCTCGCAGCGCTTGTTTAATATTTCTTTCTCGCTATTGTGTCATCTAAAGTTCCCACTCTCTCTCCCTCACATACACACTCTCTCTGTTCTGTCTGTCACATACACACACTCTCTCTCTTTATCTCTCTGTTCTGTCTCTCTCACATACACTCTCTCTCACATATACTCTCTCCCTCACATACACTCTCTCTCTCTCTTTATCTCTCTGTTCTGTCTTCCCTCACTCTCCCGTCGCTCTTTCTCTCTCGCGGGGCTTGTTTGATATTTCTTTCTGGCTATTGTGTCATTCAAAGTTCTCTCTCTCTCTGTCCTCTCTTTCTCTCTCTCTCTCTTTCTTTCTTTCTCTCTCTTTCTCTCTCTCTTTCCTCTCTCTCTTTCTCTCTCTCTCTATCTCTCTCTCTCTCTCGCAGCGCTTGTTTAATATTTCTTTCTCGCTATTGTGTCATCTAAAGTTCCCACTCTCTCTCCCTCACATACACACTCTCTCTGTGTTATGTCTCTCACATACACTCTCTCTCACATATACTCTCTCCCTCACATACACTCTCTCTCTCTCTTTATCTCTCTTTCTCTCTCTCTCTCTCTCTCTCTCTCTCTCCCCCCCCCCCCCCCCCCCCCCCCTCTCTCTTTCTCGTCTTCCCCCGCCTCCAAACTATACAGAATGAACTCCCTGGGAAGAATCCGCGTATTCAACGAGGCAGACACATCAGTCACAATGTTGGCCAGCACAACACCTGTACGCTAAGCTGAGCCAGTAAACAGAGAATGAACTTATCACCTTGTATATTCCCTCGCTAGCCAACACATCCAGTAACTTAACAAAAATGTTACATTCCGTGTCCCCCAAAATACTTCCCCTGATAGGCGCGGTGGGAATACAAATATACCACGCTTTACCAGCGGCAATTACACCTTAGCGGAGACAACCGCGCTCGACATTTAACACATTAAACACATTCCAATTGACACAAAGCCAAGAATTGTAGCACAACTGTGCGTTCTCAAATGAAGAGACAGTGAAAACTTCTCGGCCGGCTTCGGCAACCAATCCCACGGAAAATTAACACGTGTGTGTGTCCCACAAACAAAAACTGTTCATTTCGAAGTCTATTAAACACTTCATCCCTAACAAAGATTAAAATCTCTTATGGCGGGTTTCGTTTATTTGTTCTTGTTTTATTGACTCTTTTGACTTGCTTGATTTCAGAACGGATCAATTTCCGCACCGCATTGTCTCGCTTTGTGCCATTGTGGCGAGTGGGGGTGTTGGTTTAACCCCGACAATGCTAACCTTCACCTGTGCACATAACACCAGGCGTCACCCCCTTCCCCCACCCACGTCCCCTACCCCCGGGCGCTGATAAGGGGGCCACCGCCGCGGGTGGGATTAAAGGAGAGTGAAGCTGATACACTTTTAATAATAGTTTTATGTTGTTCATCAATGGCCGTTACTCTCACTTGACACGGAAATAAACGAAGCGACTGGTCGGGACTATTTGTGGTGATGTTGTACTTTGGGTAGCATGACAATAAGCATTGTTTCCAAATTAGGCTTGTGGGATTAAGCGTTATGGAACATGTTGGGGGTTAATCACTGTATAGCCCGTTTAACATGTCCGCGAGAGAGAAAGAGCGACGGGAGAGTGAGGGAAGACAGAACAGAGAGATAAAGAGAGAGAGAGAGTGTATGTGAGGGAGAGAGTATATGTGAGAGAGAGTGTATGTGAGAGAGACAGAACAGAGAGATAAAGAGAGAGAGAGAGAGAGTCTTTGTGAGGGAGAGAGTATATGTGAGAGAGAGTGTATGTGAGAGAGACAGAACAGAGAGATAAAGAGAGAGAGTGTGTGTATGTGACAGACAGAACAGAGAGAGTGTGTATGTGAGGGAGAGAGAGTGGGAACTTTAGATGACACAATAGCGAGAAAGAAATATTAAACAAGCGCTGCGAGAGAGAGAGAGAGAGAGAGAGAGAGAGAGAGAGAGAGAGAGAGAGAGAGAGAGAGAGAGAGAGCAATGTACACATACATGTCGAGGAATGTTATTGTATCTAAACAGCCGGCAAAAAACAAATACACGTTTTTTTTATGGTGGCTAACAAACATGATGTATTTGATACGGGTATCATTGTTTGCTGTGACTATCTTCAGCCTAGTAACATTTTGGTAACCTTTGTAATTTTTGGGTAAAATCGACTTTTCAAGTGTACACTTTTTTTCCCGACGGTTTATATGAGAATCGCAAATATATTACAGTAAACTACGGTTATAACGAACACGCTTATAACGAACTAACGGATATAACGAACTAACTTTTCAGTCTCGACTATTTGCTGTAGTTATGCTGTATATAGCTTGTAACGAATTACGGTAATAACGAACTAAAAATTAGTAGTCGCTTTGAGTTCGTTATAGCCGTAGTTTACTGTATATATATATATATATATATATATATATATATATTGACCTGTTTCAAAAGGTGTTCATGAAGAGGTCCTACGGATATCTTAACACACCATCCCAATATCACCCCCTTCCCATCTGTAACTCCCCATCCTCATCCTCATCACGTGATATATATATAATACAGTACACTACGGTTATAACGAACTCAACGGGGCTACTAATTTTAATTCGTTATAACCGTAGTTCGTTATAAGCATATGCACAGCAGTGGCTGGGACAAAAAAATAAGTTCGTCATATCCGTCAGTTCGTTATAAGCGTGTTCGTTATAAACGTACTTTACTGTAACTGTTTTCGGTGACTGTGTTAGTTAGCAAACGGGTGTCAATTTGAAAGAACGTCCTGCGGTGTTTGGAGGGTAAATAGAGGGAGGGTCAATGACAGGTTGATAGGAACGGGTAGAGTAGGAAGATGTATTGAGAGTGTCTATATGGGAGACATACATGTTCAGAGACGGTACAATGGTAAAGGTTAATGGCGGGACAGACAGAGAGAATGAGAGATATAAAGAGTATGGAGAAGCTGCGAAGGCTGAGAGGGTCGCACGGAGAGACGTTGATGTACAGTTTATAAAAAGTATCCAGTGGACGGACGGACGGACAGACAGACAGAAATAGAATGGAAGGACGAAAGAGTCGACAGATACAGCATCTAAGAACAATGCGTGTTAGAGAGATAATGAGATAGAAAGAAAATGAATGAGAGAGACACATACACAGCAATAGGTACACACGCGAGAGAGAGACAGAGAAAGAGAGACGGGGAGAGAGGGGGGAGAGAGAATAGAGAGATAAAGAGGGAATGGAGGAAGAGACACACAGAGAGACAAGAGAGAGAGAGAGACATTTAGGAAGAGAATGAGAACTTTAGATGACACAATAGCGAGAAAGAAATATTAAACAAGCGCTGCGAGAGAGAGGGAGAGAAAGAAAGAGAGAGGAATAGAATGAGAACTTTAGATGACACAATAGCCAGAAAAAATATTAAGCAAGCGCTGCGAGAGAGAAAGAGTGACGGGGAGAGAGAGAGAAGACAGAACAGAGAGATAAAGAGAGAGAGAGTGAGAGAGAGAGAGTGTATGTGAGGGAGCGAGAGAGAGAGTGTGTGTATGTGAAATAGAGAGAGAGTGTAATTTAGAGAGAGAGTATATGTGAGAGAGAGTGTATGTGAGAGAGACAGAACAGAGAGATAAAGAGAGAGTGTGTGTATGTGAGAGAGATAGCACAGAGAGAGAGAGTATGGGAGTGAGAGAGAGAGTGAGAGAGAGAGTATATGTGAGAGAGTGTATGAGAGAGACAGAACAGAGAGATAGTGTGTGTATGAGAGAGAGAGAGAGAGAGAGAGAGAGAGAGCGTGGTCGCAATGTACACACCAATCACAATACCAGAAAATTACAAAATAAAATCGATACTTTTCATGTCTTGCAACAAGCATAGCAAACATGACACGCTTCAAATACACTTCCACGAAATTAGGTTCATTGTGACATTACACCCTCTTAGATAGATTATGATTTCATTTTCGTATTCGTAATCGAAATATGTAAACATGCAGTTATGATATTTATTAATGAAGACAACTGAACTCAACGCGGAAACATCCTCATCCATCATCGCCCCCTTATTCCCCCCCGGCACTCGTTATTACAACGCAAAATACGTTGAATACTGTTTGTCATAAAGAGAACATTTAGACGCAGGCTCATTATTGTTGATAACTGCTTATGAATGATTACTTTAATAGCCCTGTTATAAAATGATTGCGCTTGGGCTTGCTGTTCAAACAGATTTGCATATTAATTTGTAATGACTGAATCAAACTCAGTGATATGTTTTCTCTTGGCTACGACATTATTTATTTAAATTTCCCGACGTTTCATATTTGTTAGCCTAAAATCGATAACTATGGGTCTAATTACTGTTCTTATCGGTATTTGATGATCTTGAGATTATTAACATGACTCTGAATACCGTGTAGTTTAGAAAAGCTATTTCATTTCATTCCCGCGTATTCACATTGATTGTGGAAAAACGCTAGATGTTGCGATAAGATCTAGCTAAATAAAAACATCTCTACACTCTCATATCAAACAGCTCAAAACATCATCGAGAAATGGAATAGCCGCGTACAAAAACGGTCTGTTCGATTTTATTTACCTGTTGACTCGGTAAACTCCGCAATGTTTACGTCGCTGCACGGAGCTCGGCGGAAGCAGACGACAGCGGAGCGAGGGCTGGAGAGTGTCGCCTCCTGTTGAGCTGAACAGTTGTTAGTGCAGCCAACAGATTGGTCGCGTAGAGAACCCGCTGAGAATTGTAGCTGGATAGATCGCGGTACTTTTGGATTCGTGCTTCTCAATTCAGGATGTCTTCGCTTATTGGAAATATAGCAACTTGTGCCTTTCTACTGACGGTCTACACATCGATGGTGGCAGGTAGGCCTGTTTATTTGTGATGGAGTTAATATGGAAGCTTCTTGTTCGTTTTTGTGTGAATTGCTGGCGTTTGTAGTTTGTTTTTGCCACGGACTCGTTCCAAATATCTGACAGTGATAAATGACGCTAAACTTTGAATTTACTTTTGTGGGTTTCTGTATAGCTTTGCATGAGATGAACAATAATTTTGTGTCTCGTGATAAAAACAGTGTGTCAATCACTGCTCAGTGAACTATTGTTTGAGATGTCATATTAATATTTCAAATTTGAGTGAATATTTATGATTAAAGCAGTGCATCATCTAGTGTAATCTGAATTGTTACATTGTAATTGGTTACATCGCTTTTTGGTTACACTGACGGGTGCCACCGGCGGGCCAGAAACGCTTACATTTCCGCGACACCTGCTATCGTCACTATACGATAGTGTTTCAAAAACACATGCTTCTAATACTGTTTAAATGGACTCTGAATTTAGTAGTCAATTCTTATGATTATGGAAAGAGTTCTATAAACTCAGGTTTTACGTTTCATCGTTTTAGCGATGGAAGTAATTAGGATTATCGACACAAAGTACGGCGCACATTTTGTGTGTGTTTTTTTCTCTGTGTGTTTACGTTAATAACAATCACCTGATGATAGGCGATGCGACAAACTAGCACAGGTAATTGGCTGACAATTGTTCTGTAAAAACTCTATCTTTAACTCAATGTATTATTATGACAGGGGGTAATTGTTTCGAAATGGAAACATTACGAAGCATGTATTTACACTTTAAATCAAGGACGGTAAGGCAGTTATAGCAATGCGTGTGGTATCACATAAAATCCTCAGCGCCTGCAACGCTGTGGAGCATTGTGAAAGCCTAATATACCAAAAGCATCACACAACAGTATTACTTCTTGAAAGTTATGTGTGGTTGGCATAAGACAGTATATAGGGGAAATATACAAGGCATCAAACTATCTTACTGTACTGTAGTGTTATTACACATAGAAAGTTCTACATGTCCTTCATCATTTGAAGCAAACACAGCGTGTCTTACTGCACGATATAGAACATAGAAGCCTTACTTTTCATGATATGATTCAAACATGGAACGTGTCAAACAGTTTGAATGTAGTATATTACTTTATGAAGCTCTGTAGGAAGCACACAAACAATGTATCAAACAGTTTATATATATTAATTACTTCATGAAAGTTCCACATGGAAAGTATATGTCTTACCTTACATGATATAACTCAAACAGAACGTGTCAAACAGTTTTAATGCAGTTATCTTACTTCATGAAAGTTCCACATGGAAAGCATAAATCTTACCTTACATGATCTAACTCAAACATAGAACGTGTCAAACAGTTTTAATGCAGTTATATTACTTCATGAAAGTTCCACATGGAAAGTACGAGTCTTACCTTACATGATATAACTCAAACAGAACGTGTCAAACAGTTTTAATGCAGTTATATTTCTTCATGAACGTTCCACATGGAAAGTATAAGTCTTACCTTACATGATATAACACAAACAGAACGTGTCAAACAGTTTTAATGCAGTTATATTACTTCATGAACGTTCCACATGGAAAGCACGAGTCTTACCTTACATGATATAACTCAAACAGAACGTGTCAAACAGTTTTAATGCAGTTATATTACTTCATGAAAGTTCCACATGGAAAGTATAAGTCTTACCTTACATGATATAACACAAACAGAACGTGTCAAACAGTTTTAATGCAGTTATATTACTTCATGAACGTTCCACATGGAAAGCACGAGTCTTACCTTACATGACATAACTCAAACAGAACGTGTCAAACAGTTTTAATGCAGTTATATTTCTTCATGAAAGTTCCACATGGAAAGCATAAATCTTACCTTACATGATATAATTCACACATAGAACTGTCAAACAGTTTTGATGCAGTTATATTGCTTCATGAAAGTTCAATATGCGAAGTAAAAGTCTTACGTTATATATTAAGCATACACACAACGTGTCAATTTAATTTAACGTGAAAAGTCCAGTGTTATTAGTGACTAGAAATGTTCTTATTGGTGAGCGCAGCCGTACCTTTACACAGAATTTACACAAAGCATCCAATTGTTTCTCAGCACATAATATCAGTCGAATTAATGCTTAATGAATGTTTCTACTAGTGTAAACTTAACTTCAGTGTAATATGTAACGACAACGTCAGAGAATAACCAGATATCGAACCAAACAGTCTCATCACGAGTAGAATGTGTATTTGATAAAGCTAGTTTGAACTTAACATTAATTATTCCCTTCAAATACAAAGTTAATCGTCGACAAAAGTGTACTAACAGTCTGGTCACGAGAATGTTATTCTATATCGTATTATGTTTGTTTGATGTTTAACGCCGCACTCAGCAATGTTCCAGCTATATGACGGCGGTATGTAAATAATCGAGTCTAAACCAGACAATCCAGTGATTGACATCATGAGCATCAATCCACGTAATTGGGATACGATGAAATGCATCGACAAAGTCAGCGAGCCTGACCACCCGACCCCGTTAGTCGCCTCTTACGGCAAGCATAGTCGCCTTTTACAGAAAGCATAGGTTGATGTAGACCTATTCTACCCCGGAATCTTCACGGGTCTATATAGTCAGGTAATGAATGTGTCGCGTCGGTATCTGTATTATAAACCTATCCAGGGTATCGAGTATATACTACCGACCACAGGTCTCAGCAAGAGCATTGTTCTTGAACACAAAACACACAGCATCACTCGCAACGGAATAATTACACAACAGAGGTGACCCTATATATGAAAGACAGTAAAGTAAGCCCCGGGCAAAAGAAAGTATACACTTGAAAACAGAATTTGGCTAAAATCTATTAAAAGTGAGTGAGTGAGTTGGGTTTAACGCCGCTTTTAACAGTATTACGGTTATATCACGGCGTGTCAGCTTAATGTGGGAGGAAAGCCCGAAGTGATGCAGGTCTCGGACGTTTACCAATTCGGTGAAACCTACGAGCACGGGTATGGTGCTGACAAACCTAGAAACACAATCGGAGCGAACCGGAATTCGAACCCACAATCATAGGTTTCTGGCCCAAGGGACGCAACTCTGCACAGCGAATCGCGGCTCCTTAGACGACTGGGCCACCCGTGCCCCCGAAAAACGTTAAAAGGCTAAAATACTGCAACCTAAGGTCTAAAACACATCTATGATACCCGGATCAAACACATCCCCATTGAATAAACATGTGTTGTATGTTTCATTTCCACCGCAAAACATGAGTGTATACAGTAAACTACGTTTATAACGAACACGCTTATAACGAACTGACGGATATAACGAACTTACGTTTTTGTCCCGACTATTTTCTGTAGCTATGCTGTATATATGCTTATAACGAACGACGGTTATAACGAAAAAAATAGTGGTTCCGTTGAGTTCGTTATAACCGTAGTTACTGTACTTCCTTTTGCCAGGCTGTTTGATATAACATCGAATTACTTTAATGAACGCGTAATACATAGCATCACTCACCACGAAATATTTATACTGGTAACTCTGACCTTTTGAGGAAAGAAAGTTAATAGTTACAGAATGGATGTCCTATCAACGATAACATCACTTGCTATGACACATTAACACAAGCTGCCAAACAGATTTCCCAGCACAGGAGCAATTCATCGTTACCCGTGTTGGCAATGAACGTGTAATAGTGAGACAATATTGGTTCGTTGTTCAATATGATTACTGGTTGTCCAACTATATGGGCGTGTGATGAAATCAGACCGCCATTTCTGGCGGCCGGTTTCCGTTTGTTTAGCAGGTTACGACATGACAATGCAATCAGAACAAGAGCCACCTTGGTAATGGGAGCAGAGTAACAGTCGGGCGTCGTTTTGTTCACCACGCATTTAAATGAAAGAAAAACACACCGATCAATCGCTTTTGCTTTGCTCCTTCTTTATAATTGGTTTTTCATTTGAACTACGAAAAGTATTGCGATGCCTCACTGTGACATGGATTATCACATATATGTAACGTGAGTGAGTGAGTGAGTTTGGTTTTACGCCGCTTTTAGCAATATTCCAGCAATATCACGGCGGGGGACACCAGAAATGGGCTTCACACATTGTACCCATGTCGGGAAACGAACCCGGGTCTTCGGCGTGACGAGCGAACGCTTTAACCACTAGGCTACCCGACCGCCCCATATGTAACGTGAGGTGAGGTGAGGTGACATGGGGTTTTAAGGTATTATTGCACTTATATAGCGACGTGCATGCATAGGTTGGTGTGGCTGCTTGTTCTAGTCCGGACCGATACCGATTTATAGAACTAGCCCACTGAGATACCAGTTTAACATGAATAGTGAGTGAGTGAGTATGGTTTTACGCCGCTTTTAGCAATATTCCAGCAATATCACGGCGGGGGACACCAGAAATGGGCTTCACACATTGTACCTATGTCGGGAATCGAACCCGGGTCTTCGGCGTGACGAGCAAACGCTTTAACCACTGGGCTACCCGACCGCCCCTTAACATGAATACCCCACTCAGACACAGTATACTGACTCCGAGCTGACCAGAACTTATTTTATCCGCCTAAGGCGAGCGCCAGACAGGGTAACAACAAGTACCATGTTTAACGACTTTTGGTACAACGCGGGCGGGATCGAAACCCGCACCTACTTCTGTCTCGGCGAACGCCCTACCACTAGACCACGGAGGCGGTCCATATGTATCGTGAATTAAAACCTTACTTACCAGTAGAAACAGTCAGTGTGATGGAACCCAGGTCCCACTTGTACAAAGCGATCTTAGCACTAAGACTATCGTAAGCCTATATTAAAGTATGGGTGTTACGGTCATCTCAGCGCTAAGATCGCTTTGTGCAAGTGGTCCCTGGTTAGAATAGGTCCCCGTGGCCAGCAATTACGTCGTGGTTAGAATAGGTCCCCATGGCCAGCAATTACCTCTTGGTTAGAATAGGTCCCCATGGCCAGC